TCTTAGTCACCTGATTAAGGCACGTTAGCACACATACATTAAGGTTAGACCCTGCGTATTAACAGGGCACAGCAAACCCTCACATGCCAAATGTAAACACTGCAATTCTGAAACAGATCTAAGTGGTATATATAATCAGTGCTGCATGCGTCCCCTTGCAAGGATTTGCTTCTAACAAAGAACGCTGTCAGATGCCATTATTCTCTCGGAAACAAAGAGAATTATAACAGAGGAGATCCGATGAAAAAGCCAACACATAACTTATTCTTGCAGCTGATACAAGATATTATTGTCGGCATCAAGCAGCTGCTCCAAGCTTTGAGTGCGTGGATGTGTGAGTGTGCATATGTGCATGTAGCTCCTGGACAATTTCCAGATTTATGGAAAATTTCCCCTATGCCAGTGTCAGCCTGCACAAAAACTTAAGAGCACAAAAAGCTCCAACTAACTGTCTTGGAATAGCAAGCAAGATAGCACTCATGCACGGAAATGCTTAACTTTCCTTATGTATTTAAATACGAGGCATCTTCATTTGGTGGCATTAGAATAGGTCTGCTGGCTTCAACAAAATGATTTAAAGCAGCTGATGACCCACCCCCAAAAGCTAAAAAAAAAAAAAGTTCATATTAATGGCAGTAATTAGTGCTCAAGGGTAGTAGAGGTCTTTGAATGTTGATGGAAGTTCTTTGGCCAACGGTTTATATAACAGGGTCAAAACTTCACTACTTCACCGTTGCTATTAACATTAGATAGTTAGCCCTGCTTAAGTTATGCTTCAAAAGCTAAGGAAAGGTTATTACTTAAAATAATAAACTGCAGGAGTTTTACTGTATATTAATATCTTTTCCATAATTATGTTCCTCTGCTTGAAAATACTGAACAACCTCAGTGCTCGTACCTGATACTACAATTGAATAGATGATACTTTTTTTTTAGAGCTACCATCCTCTTTGTTTTTACAGTAGACCTATCTATAAACAGTACCTGCCCATCTGATGCTTTTTGAAGCTAAAAGGATCAAGAAATAAGTCACAGCCTCTTAGAACACAAAATGACATAAAATGAAATATTTACATTAAAAGGCAAAACAACATAGCCACCAATGCTTGAAGTTCTAGGATTCTGAAAAGTCCAAAGTGAAATTATACGTATGTGTGTTTAATGTAGCCTCAAGTTCAAGGCTGTTTTCATGTGCTGTCATCTTCAATTTTACGGCAGTAGCACTACTTGATCTGTGTTCTTGTCTACAGAGCTCGTTCTTTCATTTCTTAGCCTACTTTCTACTTTCTATTCCAACTGCTATTTTCCCCTTAAAAAGTATCAGAAAGCAACAGAATGCTGAATTCCAACTGAACGACAGATTAGTTTCTTTTTGGTCATAAGCTGAGTACTTTACCACTTCAGGATTAAATGAAATGATTAAGAATGGGCTATTCAGTGGAACTGTCAAAGACTACAAAGAGTTGTTAGTGCTGCGAATGAACAGGCTGGGTTTACTCTATTACCATCATGTCCTGAAAACATTTACTCAGAAGGCTGAGGGACTGCAAATCTTGCTGAATCGATGATGCCTGTCCTCAAAAGACTCGTATGAAAACTTGGCAAAACATACACAGTAATTCGTGCAGAAAACATCAGGGCTACGTGAACATAGCCCTACTAGTAAATACATTTGAGTCTATCTTTTTTCCCCCTGGAGGGACACTGGAGTAGAAGCGTTAATGCATTCTGCCTTGTCTTCATTACGAAATAATTCAGATACATTAACTTGAATTAATGTCTTAGTGTTAGCTTGAGTTAAAAACCAGTTGAAGCTCTGTGAATACACCTTGTTTTTGATCCGAGTTGGCTAACTCGGGTTAAGAATACTGACACTGCTTGAGCTTTTAACCTACTCAGGAAGACATCATCAAGAGCCATGGAGATGTACATGCAAGCTATGGAAATGCAACTTTTCAAGCTTTGGGTTATCTCTATGGATTTCCTAGTGGAGCCTAACAAACCAGCATAAAATCCACCAGTTTAAAAGGGAACCTTATAGTCCACCATTACTTTTAGGAACACAGGGACATTTCAAGTAGGAAAAAAAAAAAAAGCTGATGCATGTGTGGCAAAAAAGCTACCTCAGAGAGAATATTAGTAATTGTATATGTATTTTGGCTTTGTGTAAGAGAAAAAGTGTATTTTACTTTGAAATATTTTTTTTGCAGGAAAATGTCCTACTTTGCTAGAAAAATGAATACATGAAAGTATCTGTATATGAGATGTTTCAGCCCTGTATTATCCACTCACCAGGACTTCCAGTTATTTACATAGGTATGCCTCATTCTCCCTCATCAGTCAATCTTCAATATCTCTGTCATTCATTTCATATCAAAAGTAAGAGTTATCAGTAAGAACTTGCCTGAGAGCAAGAGAAGGAATTTGCTTAATGCACACGGTCACTTGAGCAGTTTTGTGAAGTGCTAACACTGTGGTTTAAGAAGTTACCTAATTTCTGAAGTAGATGATTTCAGAAACACATATGCTGGGTATCTTGTAATACGATGTCATGATAATGTAACCTCCTCCCTACATCCATCAGACATTTCAGAAGTTCTGATAGGCCAGGCATCCAGTGTTGCCTTTATAAGCACTCAGAATGTGATTTCACAGACTCAGAAATAACATTAAGGCATTTTCCCATACGTATTTTGAACCATCAGAACCTCCACAGTTCTTTCAGTCCAGCAGGTAAACTGCATGGAGAGCTGCTCTACAGCTGTCTAAGGCAGGGCTGACAAAAAAAGAGCTTGCAAAGTGTGCTCTAGTCTTGAATTATACTTACTGAGTGTATACAAATCGTATTGCTGCTCCATACTTACTTCAAATGGTTTGAATAGTATCAACACACACAGCATACATATTCAGCCTTCCTCCAAATGCACGCAAGTTTTTCAGCACGCAAGATTTCAGCAGTTAGTTTAGCCTGACTGCACAGAAGCTTTTAGAGTAAGACAAGCTCATAGAGCAAACTCTGTAAACGTTACCTTGACAAAGTAGTTTTATTCGGAGGCCTCACCTTTCTGGATCAGGTACTCGGAGCTGTCTAAAGTTACAACGTTCCTTTCTTGAAGGTTTATTAGCCAGAATATCTCTTGTTGAATGACACCTCGCTTAGCAAGAAAGGGCAGCAGGCCTGCAGTCAAGATGGCAGTCAAAGAAAAGGGACCTTCTCCCTGAAGAGATACCTTTGACCTTGAGGATTATTTCGATAGCTTTTCCTCATCCAGGTGGCTGTTGGTGGAAAGAGAATAAGATTCTTTACTGTTTATGCTTTTATAAAGGAGGACTGTTTGATTATTTGGCTTATTTTTCCCATGCTCTCTAAAAGTATGCACAGAGAACACTAGTTTGATAGATAATTATGAGGATCCAGCATAAAAATAGAAGGTGTGAAAATGACCCTTAATAAAAGGAAGCTTTGAGAGCACAGGGCATATGAGGCAGGTGACATGGTTATTTTACTATTTCAGGTCTACATCACTGCCAATAGTATTTTTACTCATTCCTTCCACATGATATGCTGTATAAAAATCATTTTTAACTTAGTCAATTGGAGAAGGACTAGTTTAAAATAATTTGTTCTCTCAAAGTTAAGCATAGTTAATACGAAGATAAGTACTAATATCTGCAGCGATACATGCGGGATGTATCATGAACGTGTCAGCCCAATCCACTGAACTGAGCAAAAGTGGCCGAGTGAAAGATTTGAATTCAACTCTTCTGTACACAATCCTCAATCTATTAAAATACTGTTTTTTTTCTAACCCACCACAAAATCATCTAGTGCTATTTAGCCAGCTGCATGCATTTTACAATTAGCTCTCACTGCAGCACAAGTTACATAGGAACATTCATGGCATTGCGAACTGCTCAAGCTTTCTGCTTACTGAAGTCTTTGGCAAGTAACTCTTCAGGGATCAGATACTTCTTTGGCATGTGCTACATCTGCAGGTCTACTAGAGCCTGTGTAAAAACTACCACTGAGTCTAGACTTCAGGATCTGAGTCTTCAGAATCAAGCAACATCTTCCCATTTTGCTCGCAGCTCAAAACAGGTAGTGAGGGCTTCTGTCTTCTACAGAAAAGAAACACACCTCTTTCCAACTGTGAAGTGACCAGGTCTCTCACTATCTTCTTCTGGGTATTCACTCACTATTCAACTTTTAAGCCTGGTTACAAATTTATTTTTGTAATTTAGAACTAAAATCCTGTCAACACAACTGCCATCAGCAGCAATGCCATCAGCTCTTTAGGACTACATTGCTGGAGAATTTAATCAAGTCAATGGCTCACATCAGACTTGGTATGAATTTATTTTAGGAAAGAAAAATAAAAAAACCCTAAAACCAAAAAAAGTTCTAACATACACTCCAATTAAGCATTTATTTGCCCTAAGCATAAGCTTTGTAAGAGCAGTGGCACCAAGCAAGAAACAGTAACTGAGGTCAAATCAGTAGCTAAACTTTTTTCCAGTAATCTGTTTTTTCTCACCTTTAACAGAAATTCTGTGAAACTCATGCTTAGTCATTTCTTCATTACCTTAAAGCACCTAACCAACAAACATTTTATATATTAAAGTTCTTCAGCCTTCTGATTAATACAAATAATTTATAGATTAGCATCATTTAAAGCATATTCATTATGTATATTAGTGTGTTTATAAGTTTAAGTACACAATAGTAATATCATAATTGTGATGGCCAGCATCATCACTAGAAATAACTTTTTCTGGACTTTACTGCAAAAAAAAAAAAAAACCAAAAAACCCCCCAAAAACCTGGTATATTTTAAATGAATGAATGACTTTTAGAAGTTAATAGCATCTTCAAATTAAGAGAAATAGTATTTCCCACAGAACAGTAATCTTTGCTAAGAGAGATGTGGCCTTACATACAATAGCTCTTCTCATGTGCTCGTTTTTCTTTACCACAGAAAGAAAATCACTTTGTAACAATAAAAATGTTTTGACTTTTATTATCAAAAGTAAAGTTAATCACACTGTATTCAAGAACTTTTATTTCATAGAAGCAAGTTAACATACAATGTATTTATTTTGTTATGAGGGAAGTAGAATTTGATCAGTACTAGCCTCTTTTGAGAATTTCAGTAAACATGTATGTAGCAGAAAAAGTTATCATTTAGTAAAATAGCAGGAAATCTTACCTCCCCTCAAATTCTGGCCTGAAATATTAGTGTCAGTGAAGTCAAGACAAAACTTCCACTATCTTCAGTGAGGACAAGGTTCTGCAGCAAGTTGAAACCATTTTAAAAGCCACTGTATGGCTTTCCAGCATGAAACTTTAAAGGGTATGAATTCAAAACCTAATGTCCCAAGTTTATTTGGATACCTGCCTGAAACATTATTTTTTGCATTACAAAACATAGAAAAGTACAGCAAAGTCACTTGAAAAAAAGACAGTATTAAGCGTCTCCAAGGGAGTTAAAATATATACATATGAACCATTTCACAGAATTTATTTTTCTAATATTTATCCAATGAAGTCTTCTACAACAGTGTATTTCTATTGTGTACCAAGACACTAACCATCTTTTATCAAACGAGGTAACCTGCTTTCTGCAAAATGACTGTTTCACTTGGCTTTGCAAACAGACAACACCTCATGAAAAGCCCGCTCTACTATTTTGGGGATCTTTCTCTTGAGGATGAAGTCCAAAAAAGAAAAAAATCCCACCAAACTTCTTGGACAATAGAGAACCGGGGCTCTGGCAAAAAACAGCACCAGGTCCATGACAAAGTGATAAACAAATCCTGCCTCGGCACCCGTATGCTTCAGCCTTGGAATGTGTGCAGCCTGGAACCAACAGCAACGACAACGATGGTAGGTAAAAGCAAGGTAAACTCTGAACTGGAGGCTTTGTGACAGTGAATTTAAAGCAGACAGCACTCAGTTTTCCAGGGGAGAGATTCTTCACCACTGCCATCTCCACAACGGAGGAAAGTCATGAGCTTGCAGCAATCATTAACAGGGACATATACAGGCACTTAGTAAGGGAGCTGGCTCTAAATCCATTAAAGCCAACAAAAAGACTGTGGTGATAAGTGGGTTAGACCCTGAGTAGGGATTAGAAGTAGTATACAAACCCAGGAAAAGAGTTTTAAATATGTAATTGTCAATACTGGAAAAAGATATGATGCATAAAACCCCTAGCTTCTTGAAAGGAAGCTAAATCTCCAAGTATCTTCTTATGCAGCCATTACCCAGACAAGAGTTGCATTACGTTTTGACTGAATCAAGACTAAAGGATTCCCATTGTTGCATCAACTGGCATAGCTACAGCAGTTGGGTATTAACAAATGGCCCTGATAATTGACTGAGAGATTAAAATCTAGTTTGTTACTTAGTTTCTGTAGTGAGGCAGCTGACAAAGAGTGTTGGAATTTCAGACACCTTGAATTTTCTTGTTCCTTCTCCAGTTCTTGTTCTTTCTCCAGTAACTTGAATTGACGTGATGGTTTTTATAATGCCTAGACTGACTTGTTTACTGAAGCCTTCCTACTGAAATACTTTTATAATTGATCATAATTGCCATTTGCTCAGGCATTTCAAAATTAGAGAAAAATCTCAAGTAGATCCAAGTACAGGAAAAACACGTCGATGATATCTAACTATTGCCCTGACAATTATCTTTTTTTGAAAACAATGTATTTAATTACCTAAGAAAGTTACAAAAATATCTTTAAATTGCATTTGAATATATAAGCAAATTATACATATTTAGCTCTAACGCTGAGAAAATAAAATCCCAAGCACCATGAAGACAAAAAACATTGAGATGACTGATTCTAGAATAATTTAAGACTTTTTACCAAGAGTGTCTTGATGTAGCAATCAAGTGAACGTTTTCCTACTTAAGTATTACTCATAGTTACAGATCACAGAGCTTATCTCGTTATTCTCCTTTCAGAGCAGTGAATGAGTGATTAGTCCAACACTCACTGCTGCAATTTGAGTTTCACATTTTGGGGGAACAGACGAAACTTTAGCCTTATTCCTGTAAATGGCAAAATTCCTTAAAAACATTAACAGCATCAGGATTTTTAATGCAAAGAACATGGATTTGTCAGAGACACTGACAGATGAAATAGTCACTTACGGGTGGTTTGCGATATAGTATTTAAAAAGGATACACAGGGAGCTATGTACATACTTTTTAAAACTCATTCAAGATGAAGAAAACTCACAGCTTAAAATTCACGTGACAGATGTAGGTATCTGTTAAAACACTGTCAATATTCTAAGTCACACGTGGTGAATACATATTTCACAAAGACTAAAATAAATAACAGACACTTTATTTAATCTATGTAAGAATACTTCAAAGCATGGCATTTCCTGACAATGCTTATAGAGAATCACCAAGTAAAAGAATGCAGAGGTCATACATGAACTTGTGAAACTCTGTTGGATGCTAGTTTCCACTCAGTTTTCTCATGATTGGGCTGTCAGGTTCAGCATTAGTAAAAATACTTCCTACAACCACGTGAGTACCCCAGATGATATGACGAATAACTTTGCAGCAGCCAAGATCATCAATGCAGAATCCCAAGTGGCGGTAGCGTTCATCTGTTTCAAACAGAGTGTTGTTTGTATATGGTCCAAAAAACTAGGTGGAAAAGAAGAGAAATTTTCACATTTCCAAGAACATTCCAGACTATAAGGGCTAATAGCCCAGTAACAAAGCATTTTAAGTTTTAAAATGTGTTTAAAACAAAGCATTTATGTTTTAAAAGTGTCAGAATGATCTCTTTTTAAAAGAAAAAGTCCAGAAGTACTAATTACATCTTTTGGTAGAAGTTTTATGTATAACTTTGGTTCAGGAAAACTATATAGGAAAATTAAAGCAGAGGACCTCTGTTATACTGATAATGAAGTGAATAGCTCATATTTAAATATCCCCCTTTATTGCTGACAGTTAGCTGAAGGCATATCAGTGTGTTTGAGCGTCTAATCAATTAAATACATAAAAAATCTGAAGTGGTTTCGAAAACTTCTATTAGGCATTACAGATAGAACAGGTGTTAGGTGGCAAAATTAAAACATGTATGCTTTCAGCAAGTCCTCCCCATGAAGAAAGACACTTTGAAGAGGAGAGTGTATGTAAATTGGAATAAGTTATTCCAGGTGCTTCACACAAAAGCAGCAGCAGCTTAATACTGACACAAAAGCCTGTTCCTGATGAATAGCTTATAAGTAAGGATGTTACTACTGGATTGGAGCCCATAGACAGAATCCTGCTTTTATTAATCTGTAACTCTTCCTTAAATGCATGGAATTTTCAGGGAAGGTTTTAAACAACACATACACCTTCAATTGTGTTCAGATTATAAACAATCCCTGTTAAACCTGTTTGCCTTTGATGCCACAATAATTGCCTTTCACAGTTATTTTAATCAAGTAACACCACTAAATTGAGCTCTACCATGATTATATTCAACTGTGATGAGGTTTTAAAGATTGGTTCTCAGACAAAAAAAAAAAAAAAACAAAACATATGCATTCATGCCTCGACAGAGATTCTCTCAATTCTCTCTTACAGATTTGAAGACTCTATATGTTGCATTTCACAGATGTCTTGGCGAAAAACTTTCAGCTCCTGCAGAGATTTGGTTTAATCTGACAATGAGAGCCAACCTTGTTTAATAGGAACAATACATTCCCCTTTTCTACATAACAGTGGTCTTACTAACTAGTGCAAAGAGATTTTTAAAACTTCAATTGCCACAAACAGGTATCAGGACTCCCAAGTTATCTTTGGAAGTCATACTGGTACAGTGAACAAGAGCTTTTTGGTATACAGCTCCTACACTTATCTCAAGTTCAGCTTCATTGCTTCTTTGAAGTGCCAACTGCAGTGACAGATAACACAGTATGGGAACTTGATTAGGGTCACTTCCCTATCTCCTTAATTTAGGAGAGGAATTATCCTGGGCTAACAGCTTTTGGTCAATCTGAAAAAGCTGGATTTGACCCATTTGAAAGTACACAGATACAACTGTCAGTATGTAGCAGTACCCATTGCCTATTCCATGCAGCACAGTAACTTACTGCCAGTCCTGAGGATGGATCAATGAAGTCAGCCCAATAGCCTTCAGAACAAATTGCGTAACAAATCTCCTTGGCACCATTAATGAACTTAAAAAAAAAAAATTTTTGGTAAGTATGTACACATCAGAATGCATATAGAACATTTTGAAAGTGAACTAGCACAGATTTTTTAAAGACTCTACTGAAAATGGGAAATTCAACATACTTTAAATAAAAATACTAAGAATGGTATTAAGAGGACTAAAATTAATGGTATATATTAGGCTACTACAATAAGATTTTGAAGTGTTCCTTGTGCCAGTCAATAATGGATTAGCAGTTTGTACAAGGAGTAATGTAATTGCTCTGATTATTTAAGCAGACCGCAGTTATCCTCTTTAAGAAGTCAACCATTACTTCAGACATTTCTCAGTACTATTTCCACAAATTTACAGGTATAATCTAAACTCCACAAATTTGACATTAAATGTGGCATTAAATATAACGGAAATAAGAAAATTACAATTTTGCTGTAAGATCTTATCATGGTAAATAGGACAGTATTACGAAGTTCCTCTTACACTACAAGTGTCTAAATGCAAACGATTTTAAAGAACATTTTAGTTTAGCATCATATCAAACGGTTCCATAAGCATTTGACTTCAACAATCTACACCAATTTTCATGTTGTCATTTGACTGATGGTCAGGATGGACGATGATTTCAAACTCTTCCACTACTTGACAATCAAAGTTGGAGGTCATGTTTCAGTTATGCTGGAGAACACTGGCTGATGTTCCCTAAAACACTATTTTAAATTACACAACATGCCAAGAAGTTTCCTATTCTCTTCTCTCTGAGGAGACAGTTTATAGAATCTGTATTTTTATAGCAACTTCCTCACATTAGCTAATCTGCAGTATTAAGCAAAAGTTCTCTCTCTGGTGTTGAACAGCAGGCATCTGTTTGTCAGATAGAGAAGAAAAATCAATCACAAAATTAAGGTACAATTAAAGCTGTGACACACACCGAGCAGACGAGACATTGCATTAACTCCAATAAGAGTGCTGTGCTTCTGTATTCTGACGTTACAACACAAGACAAAAAATTACATGATCTACAGATTATATAACACAATTTTTTCCACATATAAATCAGCAAGAACAGGAGAGTTCAGTTATGTGCTTTCCATCACCTAAATCAGCAGGTTTCAACCCATATTACGTGGGCCAGCAGGGGTCCGTGGAAAACTGCTAAGGAAGTCTGCAAAGGTAAGCGAGAAAAAAAAACAAACCACCCCAAAAATCTGGATGATGTGATGTTCCTAAGACCATTCATGCATTCTGAGGAAAACACGTCTGGGTGCAAAAATCTCAACTGCTTAATGTAGTTATCTAGAGTAAAGCACTAATGTAATTCACTTAGTTATCTCTAAACATAAAGGAAATTCCTTAGGCACGTAAAAAGAAGCATCTCTGTCTAACTTCAAAAATTAAAAAAAAAAAAGCTTTATTTACCTTCAAGTATAAGAATTGCACTGTTCTCCAGAATTAGTGCCCTGAGCAGCTCGTGGTTTGATTTATAGAAAGATAACTATTCAGCCTCAGTCCCTCAATGGCACAAAATAAGCAATTTACCCTTAACAGTAATGTGCTCTTCAGTGCTCTATTTTGATGTTCAATGGATCTGAAGATGAACTATGTTTCAACCTTAAATTAAGTCACAAATGTAAGCAAGCCACCTGAAGGCAGTGTTTAAGGCACACACTTTTATATACACTAGATCCTTTGATCCACTGTAACAACCCTGCAGCAAGCCCTTAGAGTGATGTTAATAAACACTTGAGATCTACTGTAAACACTTGGGTTCAGCTGTAAATAACCCTCATTACTTGAGCACAAGCCTCTCACATTAAATTAGTTTTTCTAAGATTAGTTCTAACCATCTATGAAGCAAACAAACAGTCCATTTTATCGTGAATTTGCTGTTAGTAACCTTTAAGCCGGGAGGTTACATCTAACATCCTAACACCCCTACGGTGACTATATTAGACTTGACAAGGAGGTGCACAAGGAAGAAAGATACCAATTAACATATAATTAGACCAGATTACAATGCCAAAGACCAACAGACCATAAATAATTCAAAGAGAAGAACACACTAAAATGAAGGGAATTTTAATTTGTGTGTAATCTTTATGTTGATCTTTCAGACTGCTGCTTTTTCTGCAGTAATCCTTACTTTGCCTTTACTTATATAGATGACATTTGCAATTTACAAGAATGAAAAGGACATTATCAAACTATTTGCAAGCATAAACTTGACTCTTATTACACAGATTAAATTCCCACAGGCTGATTTTTACTAGTTTTAGAAAAGTTGTAATAAAACATAAAAATTTTACATAATGTTAAGATGCTAAGGAAAGAAATACCAGCAGTGGTAAACAGCGACATCTGCTGGATCAGATACTAAGAAATCTGAAGAACGTGAAATAAGGCTATTTTCAAAGAGACCTCTAGTGGCAACAGAACAAGATGCCAGAGTTCTGGAAGAAGATTAACACGTATTAAATATCACTGGTATCCAGGCTGAAAGCATTAGCCAAAGCAATTGGCAGAACAAAGAAACAAGAGCAACCACTTCTTACAACTAAGAATGCATACATTAACAGACATGGCAGTGGAATCTCAATTACCATACAGAAAAAACAGGGAGCAGTGAAATCTTACAAAATGCATTATGCTACAGCTGAAATAAGAGAAAATAGTTGCTGTTCCTTAAGAACTGCAACAGGATAAAAAAAATTTTAAAATTTTTTAAAAATTAAAAGTTTACTGTACTATTTTAAAATCGTTCTGACATACTCCCGACTCACTCTACTATAAAGAATTTAATGGTTCTGTGAGACATTTCAAGTAGATCAATAAAAGGTACAAAGATGGAAAAAAAAACTATCTCCATTTTCATCAGGAAGAGAATATAGGCATGGATTAGCTCAGAAATGCTTTTAAAAGGAATACAGTAAGTCAGTACCAGAACTTGAAATGGATCAAAAATACAAACAAGTCACAGAAGTTTCATCTGCAAATAAGCTCACACTTTTGTCAACTACTTACGTTTTCTAACAGGATTTCTCTCTCATCCTCCACTTCTTGACTCCATACAGTCATATCATTTTTAGTTTTCTGGGTAACAGTTAATACTGTTAAACGATTGGCAGTCACGTCTGGAAACATCGACTCAAAGTCTAAAGAAAGTGAAATCAGCATTTCAATAGGTTCATTTTACATTTCACTTGAAATTTTTCTGCTTTAGACAAATTATTCACCCTGCTTCAGAGCCTTCAATTTCATTTAAATAGAGGCGTGTGTGTGTGCGCGTGTGTGTGCGCGTGTGCACGCACGTGCATGTGTGTAAGTAATCTGGCAAATAGCATGCTTGCTGGAAGCACTCATGTTGCTTTTGTGAAAAAGTAACACACCTCGGTCAGGTCCTCTCAGAAGAGACTTACGGACTGGATGATAAAAGCCATACTATTCTGCACATTTTAGAATTCACAAACAAGTATCCTTCCTTGCAAAGATATAACACTAAGGACAGTAATACTTTAGTATTTCAAAATGAACAACAATTCTTCTGCACAGACGAGGCGATTCATACTTTCCAATTAAGCCATATTATTTATGCACACTTATTTTAGACTAAGTTTTTCAGCAGAAGTTTCTCAGATCTCCTTCAAAGAGAACATTCCTAGGATGTGACAGCAGACTCAGAACGTTGGTACTGTACTCCAGACATTAACTTGTGACAATTCTTCCCCCGGGGCAGAGAAGGGCCAAAACCAGAATCACCATGCTTCTATCTCTGCATTGTATTTTGGAATAAAAATACAAATGCATATGAAGCAGCAAAATTGCAATTAGGCTTTATTAGCATAAGGACCTTTGTTTTCAGTTTGAGAAAAAGAAACTTTCTAGAATTAAACGTCCAAGGGTTCGTTCTTTCTTGCTCTCCAAACAGTCTCATCTCTTCAGCTCCTAGACTACAACTTCAGCCAGATTTCAGTCTCTTTTGGAAATTCATAATAAGATAAGATTTTAAGATAAGACTTTTTTAAGATAAGGGTTTTTTTTAAATAAAAGTCAGAAGTTTTTAACCCAATTTAACTCGAAGCATTCCCTTCTTGCATAAATCAAAGAAAGATACAATACCAATTCTTTGAATGGTTTTGTAATTTCAATCTGCTATTTTCCTAAGAAGCAGGACAGAAGGCTGGATTTTCCTCACAGGGTGGTTTCTGGATAGCCAGTTAGTCCCAGAATCTACTTGATACTAAAGCAGCAGCCAAAACGTACTTCCTCCCACCCTCTACAGATAAGTTCATGTTGAACTTAGATGGCATTAAATTTTATAATAAATAGTGTATTGTCAACAGCAAAATATTTATTTTTCACTTTACAATACGTTTTATTTTGTAAAACGTTAACTCTTTTCTAGCATGTATTCCGTGTCATTAATTATATCAGAGCCTTTATTTGCCTGTTTTTATTTTTCAAAAGTTTATTTTTTTTAACTGTCAAAAAATTGAAGATGTACCTTTTCGTAACAGTTCAGGACAAGCTTGTACTGCACATTCTACCTTTGCATTCTCAAAGTATGTTTCAGCACTATTTATTTGCTGCTTATGTGGAACATCAGAACCCTGAGAAAAATAAAATTGGTAACATTTGTTAATATATAACAAGAATAGTCAAAAAACCCATGATGCATGAGATTAAGTGTCCAACAGACACACTGAAGTAGTTTCACAAAAGATGACATGCAGTAAGATTTCAAATTCACATTCTAAAATATTAAAATTGGAGATATAGGTATATCCTACTATTGCTTAAACCGATATAGAAATGCCAAACTTCCTTATATTGCATTGTAACCATTATCCCATAACCTTAATACAGAAATTTCTGAAAAATATTCTTTTGAAACAATAGCTTTTAAGTATTCAAAACCATAGCACTTGATGTATTTAGGTACAAAATCTATTACCTGAGTCACAACAAAACTTCAGGAAGTGGCAAAACAGTTCTAAGCACCCTATTTTCAGCATTTTCCATATTAGCTGTTTTAGCTTCAAAATAGAACTTCTTCAATAATATCACTTTTGTTCTTTATAGCTTTTTTGTTCTAGAGCTTCTAAAAAATATATTTTGGGTACCTTACACATGGAGAATCTGCAAGTTAGATATATAGCATTTAAGCTTAAAATGCCCCTAAGAAGATAACAGCTGTCTTTGGGATAGCAACTGTTATGTAACATAGGGGCAGAATCTCTAAATGTAACTTTTCTAGCTCTAGTTATATCATAACTTAAAATGAATTTCACTAAGTTTCTCTAAGTGAAATTACAGCAATAAGTAGTATACTCAGTCCTACCTAATAGCTGTTTTCACACAAACCTCCATACGGAAAACTATTCCACTGAAAAGACACTGTGTGGCTAGCACTTTTATTCTAGAAGTTAACAATCAAAAGCAGCAAGAAGTAAACACAAGAGATATTAAACACAGTCTGAATAGGTATGTTTCCACATGTATCTTGCATTATGACCACAAAGTCACCGCAAGAGACCAATTAGTATCTTTACTCTACTGCTTTGTTGGACTTATGACGGTTATTTTGCAATATCTTGTTAATTTGATTCCTTTCCCCAGCGAATTTGCTGTTCCACAGGGAGAAAGTATACTGCTAGCTTGCAACATTGCTACGCATACCACTTGAGAATTTCATCAAAACTTAATAGAAGCCTAAATTTAAACATCTTTGGTGAAAACACTTGCTGCTGCTATGCCATTCGCATTTAAAAGTATCTGTTCTCTCATATTATAAGCCTTGTATGCTCCCCTTTTCTTCCTAATTATAAGATGCTTCTCTTACTAAGTATGGTACTTCACTGTGATTTCTCTTAGTTTTCTCATCTGCCGTTCCTATTCTATCTGGCTAAACATCCACTTACATAATATATAAGCTACCCAGGCATCTATTCATCAAGACTCTTTAGCCATTTTCCATGGATCAAAACTTTTCATACTGATAGGCTACTAAATCCATTTACCCTGCTCAGATAAAACCAATATACCAATCTCAAGCATACAGAGGTCAGATAGATCTGACATTGCTCTGACTGGTTCAAGGATGAGTGCCAGAGCTTCAGCAGCCACGGACTTTTCTCTCGCACGGTGCTGCAATGCATAAGGGATTCTGCACTCAACTGATGCCAACATCCAAATTTGGATCCTTTCCTAAGGTGAGTAGTTTTAGTATTTTCATTAGCTGTATCTTTTTCAGGGCTTCCTAAACAGCAGTGTTGTGAAACTGAGTTGACTCTTCTTGACTACCTTTTGAAGACCAGCGGAAAAACTTAGCTTTGCTCTTGCCAGTTTCTCCCTTCCACTTGGAAGGGCAGCAGATGCACTGGGCATTTTATTATGTAAGTGATCTTGCTGAAAAAGAGATGTGCATTAAGCACACCTGGTTTACATTAAATAAACAAGAGACCGGAATACGCTGTTGGGCTTTTAATGGAAGGTACGGTTTGCAGAAGTTGAAAACAGAATTTAGGAAGTTCACCCTAAGATTACGTGTTCTGAACACTGAAATACAGATGTTACATTTACAAAGAAAAACACTATACAGCATTTTTACAATGGAGATTTCTCAGTTAATTTCCAAAGTCTGAGCATGCCACAAATTCAGACTGACTGGAAAGTTGAGTTAGCAGTTAGTGGTAATAAACATTTGTTGAAAACATTATGATTATGCAAGCCAAGCTAGCGATCATCAAGCTGACTATTGTTAATAAGGAATCTGACTCACTGCAAGCTTTGTCACTCCCAAAACGTAGTCTCGAACACCGCACTTGGGCTATGTTGGTCTGTTTTGCATGTATTAACTCAATGGTGTCAGAATTGAACAGTTCGATCTAAAGGTCATTGTCTAACTCCCTTAAGAACAGATCCATTAAATGAAGTTAGGTAAGAAACTACCAGCACTATCTGATAAAAGCTGGTCAGTGAGAGTTGGTCAACGGTAAGTTTTGAAACTGAAGTTTTCTTTTCATATATCCATATAAACAAGTAACTGTTAAAATGCTATTTCACTATGCTTAGATGTACAGTCAAAAAAAGAAAAAATTTTTTCCACCTGAAAGAAAAGACAGTTCTATATAATCTCTCCCTCAACTCACTTAAGACTCATCTTTCAAAACCATCTAAATCATCATCAATATCCTTTTTCAGGAGAAAGAGACTAATTATGTTTGTTTGCTCTGGACAAGAAATATCACCTTCACATAGGAAATGCCTGTTCTTACCTGAAACTCATTTATGTATTGTGCCATTACACATTCATGTCTTTCACTTGGTGAAGGCTCTGCTAATACGTCAGGCAGACTTTTATGAACTTGGATTTTCTTCTGAGAAGCGGTGCCATTTAGGTGACAGTCAAAACCAATATTACCAGGCAACTGGAATCTCTGGTCCTGAGGGCCAAATGGACCCATTACTTCATCTGGCCATACAGTTCTTGGACCTGTAAAAGTCAAGGGCTTACATTAGTCACAGAAACAGAAAGAAAAAAGTCTCTCCCCACTCAAATACAGATATTGTTTTTTTATGTGATTATGATCAAAGTAACCACAACACATAACTAAAATTAAGGTATAAAAAGTACATTTCAGAATCCCCAGATTTATATGAGGTGCAAAGTTCTGACACCACATGAATGCAAAGAAAGTGAATTTGCTTTTTCTTACATAAATCAGGAGGTGTTGCTGCAACATGAGGCTCATCTGAGCCAGAGGAACCTGCTGTAGAAAAAGCCTTGGGATTTACAACTCTTTTGACTAAGGAATAAAACCCTGGTAGGTAGGTGACCAATCTTGCTCTATTATAGAGCACCTGAGAAGAAAAAAAAACAAACACACACAAAAGCAAGCATTACATACCGCAAGCAAAATAGTTTAAGTACAGCTTTGCAGAATACAGGATAAAGCCTCACTTCATAATTAAGATTGACATTTATTTATCATCAGTTGTGGTTTTTTTAAACCAATTCTAAAGCATTTGTTATTATTTTTATATTTTACTAAGGAAGAACCTCAAAGCCACACACTAAAAAGCCTCCTCATTTGAGGAAGAAAGCAGAAAAGTTTAAATAGCATTACTGAAACACCACAGTCTAAGCTATGGATGAGGAAAAATAATGCAGCCTGTACTATTCCCATGATTGTCATAATTCAATAAATCCTTGAAGTTAATTATAAAAAATACCTAGAAATATTCTTAGGTAAGTAAACACTGACATCTAAGGTCTCTGACCTGAAAACTAGCACAAATTTTAGCCCATGCTCCCACTTTTCGGAAGAATCACAAGACTAAAAAAAAAAAAATAGTAATATTACAGACACATCTTGTAGCTTTCTTCTAGAAGCACACATACATGTGAGCACACATATTTCTTTGCCAGTAAAGTAAACATATCAACAGCTCTGAACTATAAAGGGGACATACGTATCAAAACAGGTGGGTATGGCAAATTCAGCTGCTCTATTTTGCATTTGAAGTACCATAAATATTTATCATGTGCAAAACTTAATAAGTTAGTGCAAGCAGCACTATTTAGATTTGTAAGCTTGATATATTTACATATTTATAAATGAATACTGCTGCAAACAAATCAGGATCGTGGGCAAACTGCCAGCAAAGCACAGAACCTTTATGAATTTTATAGTCTTGGAACACACGAGAAAAATCTGCTTCACGCCACATAATTGTGCTGTCAACATAGCTTTCAACTGCTAAGGATCATTCTTTCAAAACTTAATTCAGCCATTCAGTAAACAGAAAATGATGCAATGCTACTTTCCTGAGCATGCAAATGGTCTCAACAATATGCTCCAAAGGGCTAGTAGCTTCAGATCACAAGGATCAACTCTGAAGCCTAATGATGATGCCTTAAACAGTAATGATTAACTACCAATGACTGCTTTTCACAAAAAATATTCAGTGATTAAACTGAAAGCCCAAACTATTTTTCATATTTCAAAAATAGGTTGGCAACTTCCACGATGCAGCTAAGTACACAAAATAAACGAAAATAATCTATCATACACTCAAAATATAGTGTTAAAATGTAATTAAAAAATGAAAGGTTACCTAAATCTAGCCCAGAATTATTAATACTCTTGACTGCAGTGTCACAGAACCACATAGTGCCTCAAAATATAAATCCCACCCACCACAACATATGTGCTTTTGCAAGACTTAATTTCCCAGATGACGGAAAAAAGAACCCTTTGCAAAACTAACATAGTTGTATTCTTGAGCCTACACAAGTTTAGGCATGTGTTTGCCATTAAAACAGGTAAGAAACAAGGTTGCTCAAAGTGAGTAAACAGTACCACTCAAATGCTTAAGGGTAAAGACTGTCTTTGAAACATCAGGACCTAGGCCAGTAAATATCAGCTACCAATATATCATCTGTGCACCAACAAACAACATCTGATAAGTCACGCTGACATCACGAAGACTCAAATACATATGCACGCATTTGATTTACTGACTTATGCTAAGTATTTAACAGTTGAGGCCTTAGGCTGCCTAGTCCCAAAACAGCACTAGGTTTAAAGGGCTCCTGAAAGAGTGAACACAATCTGCTGATTCCACTTCAATGTTTTTTTTTCTACTACATAAAAGCACTACTGAAACAAAGTTTAACATAATCATTATACACAATACAGATGAAATGGATGAAAACTGACTTACAGCTGACATTTGTAAATACAACAATTAAAAAGAATTTTTGTATACTCTCTCACTTCACGTGGACACGTTAAAAGTTAATTATAGATTCTAACTGTATTCACGTGGACAAAGCTCAGTTCTGCAAATATTTACACACCTAACATTACACAAGTGAAAAACACCACTGAAAACAACAAACTATTCACGTCCCTGTGGCAAGATTAAATCAATAAGGCACGTTTTATTTTTCAGTCTGAAATACCCTGGGTTGATCGTGTGGTGGTAAACTTTAACGCTACGTTTTAAACCGATGAGACTAAAACATGAGATTTTACTGAACCCACAGTTAGATTATTTCCACAGCATTTGCCTTCCGAAGCTGAAGTGGAAGAAGGAAAAGCGATCCTCTTCCCGATGGCTTACTTGCTGCTAGAAGCGTTTATGGTGCAACAAAGCTTTTTGTGAGCGACCCCCGCACGAGCACTAAAATTTAGAAACTGCACAGAAGCAGAGAAGGGGAACATCAAGCAGCGCCCTCCTCCAGCGGCGCTGCCTCGCCTTCTCGCGCAGACGAGGCGCAGGGGCGGCTTTACGGGCGCCGCGGCGCTGCCCCCCGGCCCGCGCCGTTACTCACGGTGGCCATGGCAGGCGGCAGGCTCCCTCTCGCTTAAACACTC